AAGAGTATTTTTTGTAATCTGCAAAGATTTTGAAATACACAAAAAAATATAGTGATTTTTTAAAAATCCCCGCCCCTCAAAAAAACCACAGATTTCATAGTTATGGGTCTTTTCAGCCATACAATATATTACATATACACTCAAACCTGTTTTTGTATGGTGGATAGGGACTGCATATTAAAAATTAAAAAAAAGCATAAAACTTCACGAGTAGCTATAAAAAATAGAGTTTTTTCGAGTTGACTTTTTTCAGTTACCATGTAGTCGGTGATCAGTTTTTGTGACGACTGTTTCATTAGACGCTTGTATATGTCTTGTAGTCAGACATACAAGAGTGAAGCTCTTGTTTTATTGATTATTTATTTTATTTTATTTATTTATTATTTTTTGATAACTTCATCAATTATGTTCCAATTTAATTGAAATTTTCACATACCGCACAAATAAAAACCTGCGCAAAAAAGACTGCATAAAAGCAGGTTTGAGTATATATGTTGTTAGAAATAAACTTAATTTTATTTTTATGATGTATCTGCTAAACCAATGCTATAGTTATAGACTCTATGTTCCTCAATATTCATGTGTAGCTCTTTTTTGTTTTTTGCTGAATGGCAACAGTTTAGTTACTCAAGTAAATAAACATGTAATGTGCATTTGTGGTTTACTTATTTCTTTTTACTATATTTCAAAATATATCTGCCATTTAAGTAATTTCTATCATGATAGTAGCACTATATGCTCTAAAGAAGTTTATTTGACAGAAATGAAAGAATTTTAATTTTTCTAAAAGAAAAAGAAACAACATTCACACCGCCGACGAAGCTTAACACTTTGAAAGCGATCCAATGGAAGAAATTAAGATTCAGAAACTCAACGGAGATAATTACAATGCTTGGAAAATAAGAGTACAAGCTGTTTTAGTTTTAAAAAAAGATTAGATTTTTTAAATCTTTGAAAAATTCATGGAATATAAAACAAATGTTGAAAATTTCCATGGACTCAAAATCACTACTCACAAAGCGACAATGGAGGGGAATATGTCAACAATGAATTTGATGATTTCCTAAATAAAAATGGAATAACAAGACAACTCATAGTTCCCCAGATACCACAACAAAATGGAGTTGCAGAAAAAATGAACCATACTCTATTTGATATGACTAGATGTCTTCTCCAAGATTCCAACATCCCACAAGAATTGTGAGCAGATGCTGTGACTGCTGCCTGTTAGTGCAACAAGTGTCCATCAAAAGCTACCAAAGGAAACATACCTGAAGAACTCTGGACCAAGAAGCTTGTGCAAAATTAGTTACCTGAGAATATTTGGCTGTCGAGTTTTTGCTCAAATTGATAAAACACTGCAGAAAGGAAAGGTACCCAAGAATGTGTCTTTATAACATATCTCGAAAGTGTTAAAAGATACAACTATGGACTACAGAGAAAGATAAGTTTTTAGTGAACAGAAATGTTAAATTTGATGATACTGTTTTTCCACTGAGAGCCAGACAGCTACTCAAGCAAAGAAGGAAAATGAAGTGACCTTTAACTTAAATCATGAGAACAATTCTGACAGTGAAGTAAATGTTGTTCCATTAGAAGTACCCATCAGTTGCACCACTACAGGAGTCGAAGATGTTGAAGCTCCATTAAATGACACAACAGAAGAAACCGAAGACACAGAATCAGCATTACTGGGAGATTCTGATAGTGACAAGGAAGACCCCATTGGAATCAGAAAAAGCACTAGAGAAAGGAGACCTAAGACTTACTGTGGGGATCCAGTGTTATATAAAGCTGTTTGTGAAGAACAATCTGCCATCAAAATCTGTAAGAACCTAACAAGTGTAAAAGAAGCAATGAGTTCCCCAAACACAGAGATGTGGAAAGAAGCTGTGAATAAAGAATTGTCTAATTTGTACAAAAACCAGACATGGGAATTGGTGCCAAAGGCAGCAGGCAACCCATAGGATGCAAGTGGGTATTCAAAGAAAAACAATATGCAGAAGGAGAAATAATCAAATTTAAAGTTTGATTAGTAGCACAAGTCCCTGGTAGAGATTTTTCAGAGACTTTCTTCCCCTTTCAGAGACTTCAGAGCCCCTGTTGTAAAGATAAAATCTATAAGAATCCTTCTAGCCCTTGCTGTCGAGTTACAAATGAAAATTCATCAAATGGACATCACTACTGCCTATCTAAACGGCTTACTTAAGGAAGACATATACATGACACAACCTGAAGGATCTCAACAGCAAGGTAAACAACATCTGGTCTGCCATTTAAAAAAAGGTTTGTATGACTTAAAGCAACCAAGAAGACAATGAAATGAATGCTTTGATACTTTCTTGAAGAATTGTGGACTGTCATGCTCAAAATGTGATCCAGCATTTATTACCTTCCAAACAAAGCATTATATATTGGTATTTATGTAGATGACACCTTACATTCAGAAAGACAGGAAGAGCCCTTGAAACATTCTCTGATGCTGACTGGGGTGCTGACAAGGTCGACAGAAAGTCGTTCAGTAGATATATTCTGATCTTAGGTGGTGCTGCAATATCTTGGTGCAGTAAGAAGCAGTCTACTGTTGCTCTATCGTCGGCTGAAGCCGAATATGTGGCAATTGGCCTTGCTACAAAGGAAGTTTTCTGGATAAGGGGACTGTTGAAGTTTATCCCATCACCCTCAGTTATAAAAGTAGACAACCAAGCTGCTATGTTCATCACACAAACCCAAACTACATCTGAATGCAGTAAGCACATGGACATCAAGCATCACTTCATCCGTATGAACACTATCAAATTAAATTTATTTTTGAATATTATTTGTTAGAAAACCCCTATTAATACCACAATCTAATAAAATTTCACAGTTGAAAATACATGCAGTTTATGACACTGATTTTTAAACAATGTTAGGATAATTACACATTAAACATTTATGTTTTGTAGCAACAAAACAAAATAATTATGCTTCTTTTTAATTTGAAGCCTTGCCCAGACATTTGGGCTAATTTATATCGATTTCCTTCTCCTTAAGCATCTTTTCTAACAATTCGAAATTTGTCTCAATATGCAAAACAATGTTCTCATTAGTTTCTGCCTGCTTTATCTCCTAACTGTCAACCTCTCCACAATGTACTACCTATGAGGGTTTACTTGATTTGGTAAAAGTTAAATAGTCGCCCCCCCCCCCCGCCAACAGACGAAACAGATTATGGCTATGTCTGAAAGTAACTATAAATCAGAGGTTTAAATAAGCTTCTTATTTAAAAAGAACTTAAAACATAAAGGCATGTTCTTATGCTAACAAAATCAATTACAATTTGTGGTGATGTAATTAAACAAGAAGAGTCAAATTCAAAATAAAAATATGGACTAGTGGTCAATTAATTTCAGTTTAATCGGGTTCAATAACCTTCTCGTCATAATAAACTCAAATGTCAGCAGCGGTAATGGAAATTATCAGAGCTGATAGGAACTAATACAGGGAGCAAAGGGAGGTCAGAAACACACTCTTATATTACACTCCAAAAACTGTCTCAGTGATTTGCATTCTTCTAGTGAGAAAATAGAAATGGGAAATTATAGTAAAGGCTGAAATTGTTAACAACTGGATAATTTACATAATAATAACTACATATCTATGAAGAATAATTTTCTTTCTCTTTACATATTTAGTTCGTTTCTTCAACAAGTTTCCTTTTCACTTTAGAATTTTTGGATTTAATTAAAGATTTCTGTTATTCTAAAAGACAAAATGCATTTAGAATGTATGCGAAAAGCTGCTAAGTTTACTTCTTGAGTAATACGAACATTCAGAAGAAATATGAAATACATATTGTAAGGTCTGGTCACAGAGTTGGTGTGGCATTATTTTTAGAATTTAGTGACACACTGAGCAACAAAATATAGAAATGGCAAAACTTTTAGAATTTAGAGCAGACATTGGAAGCAGAATTTAGTATCCACAGAGACTGCATCAGATGGCAAAATTATGATGCACTGAGACATATTAGATGAATCTTTTGAATTGTCAGTTTTCAATTTCTTTCTATAATTTCCTGTCCATATGATAAGATTAGAAGCATTTTTGATATTTTCCATGCTTGTGTCTAGTGAAAAGTAGAGAAAGAGAAAACTGATGCATATTCTGAGAATTCTGAAAATTCTGAGAAATGGAGGAAAACTGTTACCATGAAAAAATTAAAAAGACGTTTAATTAATTACATAGCTATTTGGCTTTTGCTAAAAACTGCTTCGTAAATTGTGGTTTATAGCATTATACCATGCTTGTTTTTCAGATTCAAAACATTGCATAATATGTGGCCAAAATGGAACTTTATAATATGACAGTGAAAAATAAAAATGCTTTATTTTAATGTTATTTTTTAAATATAATTCCATTTATCAGTGTTAGAATATTCTAAAAAAGTTGCCAAAAATTTCCCAGATTTCGGAATTAAAAATTTTTCATACAAACTGATCTTGAAATCACCAAAATGTTGATAAGTCGCCAAATTTAGAATCATTTAATAAAAGAATTCACATCACCAAAAGTGGAAAGTTGTTTGAGAGCTCTTCATTACAAAAAATGAAATAATTTCGAAATGCTTATGTTTCACTTCTTGCTCACAAACTCGAGTATCCCACCAGTTATAATACAAATAGGAACAAATTATAACCCATGAACCCATTCAAAAAAATAACCATATTTGTCAATGAATTGACAAAAAATTTGGTGCAAAATGCTAATTCACACTCAAAATGGCAGTCGTAAAAACAGACAGAAATTTCAGATTATTAAAATTAAGGACCTTCTAACGATTTTGGCCAAAATTAAGGACTAAAAATCGATTCCAAAAAACTTAAGGATTTTTAAGGTCTCTTAAGGACCGTACGAACCCTGCTAACATTACTTAAAAAACTGGGCACCTAGCACCATCTCATGCAACCTGATAGTAGTCATTTACAGTAAATTACACAAACAGGTGAAATATTTACCATACATGTGTTTTGATCCACAGCACTTTTCATTGCCTTGAGATCAACTTTTGTTGTAAGGGGATCAAATTTAACATGTTTAACTTTAACTTTCAGTATCTGAGCAGCCTAAAAAATATATTAAGATAGAAACATTATTTACAATTACTAAAAAAACAAACATTAAAAAGAACCTAAATATAAGATTCATGAATGAGCATATAACACCCAACCAGGTAATATACTATTGACTATCACTGTTCTTTACATAAATAAATGACCTTTCAAGAACACAGAAAAAATGCATCATGACTTTGTCAGACAGCCTCATAGTACTGATGTTCTTGTAATAATGCTAGGATTCTTTCAGCCATTTCTTCTTATGACTTTTCAGTGCTGCTGTCATAATCTCATAAGCTTTGTCATAATCTCATATTTTCTGGGTTCTTTGAATTTCAGGATCCTGGATATACAGGTGACAAGTGACAGAGGGCACCAACTCCTGGTAGCAACTCCTTGCAGAGATTTGCAAGAACTGTCTCTGCTCAGCCATCAAGAGTTTATTGCAATAAAAATAATTTTGATATGACCAGACGGGGGCTGAGAGTGCATAAGTGGTACTTTGCGAATGATTTTTTTGTTTTTGTTTTTTTTTTTAATCTTAGTACATATTGAACACTTTCGTCTTACAAAAGTTAAGCATGCTTTCTAATTACAAATGTAGATTTAGAGCAAAATATACAATATATTTATTAAATTATATATATTTAAACTATAACTAAATTAAACAAAAAATATTTTTTCAGACAGCTTTATTGAAATTTTTCCAGTTCTTTTGATTCTGCACTACAAAATCTGTAAAGATCTCTGATTCTGCACTACAAAATCTGTAAAAGCTCAGGCAGCTCTCTCAAAAGCTATCTCTGGTAAAATGAAAGTAACAAACCTTTTAGTAGAAATAGAACAGAAAAACAAGAACCAGTGGAAAATAGCTAAGAAGTTGATTATACTTTTCCAAAAAGAGAGTGCTATCTTTCAAAACAGAAGTATAATGCTAAGAAGGTGAGGATACTCTGCCAAAAAAGAATGCTGCCATTCAAGCTGCTAGAAAATTGTTAAAAAGGTAGTACTGTTACTACTCTGTCAATGCGATCTTCGGCAACATCCACATTGTTAGCATATGCAACCACTTTGTATGTCCTGAATTAGCGCCAAGTATAGGATTGAATGTTAAGTTCCCGAGAATAGGACCCATGCAGCCAGCCATTTCCCTGGATTTTAGAGATCATATCGCTATTGTGCTACAATTAGGCAGTAGTTTGTCTGCCAGATTGTAAAAATTTTGTAGAGGTTGACTGGACATTTTACAGCTTTAGAGTGCTTGTTTGACAGCCGACCACCAAACAATTTAGAAGATATTTAGAAAGTGGGTCCAGGACTTTTTGCCGTTGCTATTTCACCATGGCTGTTTCGAATGTCAAGACATATTTTTCCTTACATGATTGCATTTTATCTTCTCGTATTATACTCGCATTAAATTTATTTAGTTCAATAATTCAGCTCCCCCCCCAGATGGTATAGTGGTTAGGGGAGCCTGACT